GCTGGGGGCGGAGCCACCCGTGTTGATTGGCCTCGTGACTAACTTCCCTAGTTCCCCAGGCCAGGACAGCTCCCCCCCCCCAACCCAGACGGGAAACTCCACAGTGGGGTACGCGGAGTTAACAGGGACTACATTCTAATGCCTGGGGTGCGTGAGTGCATGTGTCCGAGGGTCGGTGCGGACAGGAATGGAAGCAAGTCCCTGCAGTGTGCAGCCCCATCCCGAGGGCTCCCACAGCCTCGGCTGTCCTCTGGGTCATGGCTCCACTGCATGCCCACGGGGACCCCCACCCTAAAGGCAGCTGAGCACGGGGCAGCAAGGTCAGCCCAGCTGGGAGGGGGGTGCTGCCCTCAGGAGGCCACAGAGGAGGGGGGGGCTGGAGAAAATGGCATCTGGAGGGCCCATAGTAGGAGTCCCTCCCTTCTCTGGTGGGATGTGCTGCATAGCTGCTGAGTGAGGCCAGGCCTTGGCCACCCTCCCTTTCCCGCAAGCCCGTGGACCTTAAGCCAGCCCTGCAGGAGAGCGGCCTCTGCCCTCCAGGAGCCCGCGTTGACCATGGTAAATAAAAGCACCACGAGCCAGGGAAGTCAGAAAAGTCAAGTTTTAAGGTTAAGGTTTCACCCTGGTGTGCTGGGTTCTGATTGGGGCCAAAGCTCAAGATCTGAGCTCGCTGCTAGGCTGTCTCCTTAATTCCAAGGCCATGGTCGGCCCACACCTGGCCCCTTCCTGCAGGGGAGACCCCAAGAGAGGTGAGCAGTGCTGAGGTGCTACCCCAGCACCTGGGCACGGGGAAGGGGGCATGGCAAGAACCCCTAGGTCCCGTGAATCCTGTTGGTTGGGGCGAGCCACTGCTGGCCTGGGTGGGGTCAGGTGTGCCTTTTGACGGCGTGGCTTCCCTGCGGCTGCTGGGACCCGGTTGCAGTGGGGCCGCTGGCACAAGAGGATGCTCTAGTCTGCCCTCCCTGCTCCGGCCCAGCCAGCCCCATACTCACATATGTTATAATCATATATTTATATATATTATACATATTAAAAAGAGAAGGGGAAAAAAAAAACTTGCCTGAAGAGAAAACTCCTCAAGGGCCCAAGAGGCTCAGGAAGTTTACTGCCTCCCCCGCAAACCCCACAAAAATTCTTTTATAAAATCTTCCA